CGCCTGCAGCACTGAGGCCAGATGAAAAGGGAGACTGAACTACTCTCTCCTCTGATGCTTTCTCACTGAGTCTTCTATATTTTAACATGTTTTTCACAGTGAAGCATTTCTCTGATTCTCTGTCTGAACATAAGAACCGCAGAATCTTAAAACAGATACTCTGAAAGCATTAGTCAACTAAAATACAAAAATATAACTTATACCAATCACAAATGTAGAAGGGTCTGGATGATGCTCTTAGATTATCCAAAAGCTTGTCCAAATGAGTCAAAACTATCAGAAAAAAACTGCTTATTAAAGCTGCATTACACCATTTAAATGTAAAGGTCCAGTGTGGAACATTTAGGAGGATCTATTGGCAGACTTGTTTGGGACGAGTGTGAAACTTTGTGGACTCTTCGCCAAAGCAATTATGTCCCTTTTGACTGCATTCTAAACATTAAGTTTGCATGCCTTTAAACCTAACACTGAACTCACGACAGGGCCTTAAGGGTTCACCCGACAATTAAAGTACCCAATGAATTTATTAGATTAGTACAATGAGTCAAAGTTGCCTGAAGTTGAATGTTAAAGGGCCATTCCACCAATTTCACACATTAAGTTCAGCTTGCTTGTCACGCGGAGCTCTGTGAAAACGGTTGTTTAATGTCTAATGTGGTTCTAGAGGGAGCTTTCCAAAGTGTAAAAAAAATAACCGTTATGATGCCATCTTAAAAATCTCCTCATTAGGCAGACAGGTTAAGGGTTAAAAGGTCCAGTGTGTAACATTTAGGCTCTATTGTCAGAAATGGAAAATAATATTCATAGGTATGTTTTCATTCGTGTCTTACCATCTGAATATAAGAATTGTTATGTTTTTGTTAACTTAGAATGAGACGCTTATATCTACAGAGGGAACAGGTCCTCTTCTATGTTTCTCTGGTAGTCCAAAACGGACAATCCAAACACTTGCTCTAGATAGGGCCTTTTGCATTTTTCGTATTTTTCACTCTGCTTTTAGCTCAGTTTTGATTTCTACCATCCCCCGAGGGAAATATTTCTATCTTCATCTGCTTAATGCACCATTGTGTTAACCAACATCACACACACACAGACATCTGATCAATTGTTAATATGGAAGACAAAAAATATGTTTTGAATGTTCAATGTAATGATAAATGTCCATAATATTCACTTAGTATTGTTGTATATGTAACAAATGTATACAATTGCATTATCTACATAGTAATGACATACATAGCAATGTATGTACAGTATGTGTGTGACTTAATTATTAAAATGTAATTTGTTTTTGTTTTGTTTTCCTGTGAAATAAAAAAAAATAAAACAGCATTTTCATTTTAACATGAGTTGTTAAGTTGTTCACACGTAACTTTGACCCAGCAATGCAGCTCCTTCACATTTTATCTTTGTGACATTTCAAAACTTCCTAGCGAATCTCTCGTGCCGATAATGCCACGCGCTGCAATTCCCAATGTCACCCTAAAATGTTATGTTACCTAGATGTTACCTCTGACCCTATAACTATGGAAACTGACCCATATTCCATGAACAGATGGTACCTGGGAAAAATGCAAGTGATCAGGTGAAAGGCAAGAGGAGATGGCAGTGGAAAAAGGTGTTGAGATGAGAGGAAGGGAAGCTATGCAATGAGAGGAGACCAGATGGTGTTAGAGAGGAGAGAAGAAAATATGTGAGGAGGATGAAGGAGCAGAGGTGGGATCCTTCCTGTTACTGTCTGTGTCACACTTTACACAAGCAATTAATTGAATCTATTTTAATGATTGGCATAAGAAAACACAGTGAAAGCAGTAAAAATAAAGCAGCAGGTGTACAGTCAAAAGCTCTAGGGATGAGGATGTATTGACTCTGAAAACCTGTGCTGTAGGGTATAGCAGAAATAAGTACTTAACCAGCAGTATTTGTAATAAAGTCTATTGCTGCCCAGAATCAGAGTAAGAGCAGCAGTGAGAGGAAGCAATATTCCAGTAAAACCTCCATCCAAAGTGATCAGATCCCGTGTGTTCAATTTGAATAAAATTAAAAGATCTGCAACTGTGATTCTGGAGGTATTCTACTTTATGGGTCGGTGCCCTTTAATAATGTACAGTTTTAATTAATTAGTTAAAAAGCTGCGATTAGTAACCCTGATGTCCAGAGCTGAATTAATCATAGTAAAATGTTTAACTTCGTGCTGTCAAACGATTACAATATTTAATCACAATTAATCGCATTAATGTCATAGTTAACTCGCAATTAATCGCACATTTTTTGTGTTTCACTGACAGCACTAGTTTAACTGCATGGAACATAAAATTATTTAGCAGTGAGATAAGACTGAATAGGGATTATCAACCAACAGTAGTAAATGTAACAAATGGGCAGGGGCAGTCGGCCAGGAAATATAAATGCGCTGTTAACTGGTTTATTCCGACAACAGAAACTCAATCGAAAGGTTAACATTGTAGGTAAACAGCTTAATCAGACCTTAAGACCTCTGACTGAAGTCTGGCCAACACAGGGATTTCAGCTGATGTAACACACTCCTCAGTGGAGAGATGGAGGAACTTCAGCTCGGAGAAAGGCTGAATGGGTTTCTTAATTTAATGTCTGAGTGTCTGAAAAGAGCTGAACAGACGTTATTTACCTCTGTGTTCACCCGAAAGTCATCTATTATTATTATGTCAGCTTGTTAGCTAGCTGACATAAGCTAGGAAGTGGAGATGAAAAATAAGCCTCAGAAAAGTTTTCTTTTAACGGCTGTAAGTAACTTTGGATGGAAGAGCACATTCTTCCTCACAAATGACACGTTGAATTAATAATAAGCAATAAACTGTACCTTTTTTTTTTATTTTATACAGACGGTTTTGCTGCTATGGCCTTATTATCTTCACTTCAGCTAACTTAAGCTAATTTTACATAGATATTGTTGTATAACTGACATTACTGAGTCTTTGTGATGGTTCTCTACTCGTGCTACTGTTACAGTACGTACTAGCATTCTGCATTATATCTTAATTACCACGTATTGCCACAATGACTGCTGTTCAGCAAGTTGCTTTAAAGCATTATGGATTTAATCTGTTTTCTGGGCTTTCGGTTGACGACAGCTCTACCACAAATAAAAATGTTCACACCCGAGGTAAAAATACTGTTATCCCTCAAAAGTACATTAACAGGGAAATAATGTCCCTAATGCCTTAAGCCTTACATCTACAGGAGATGCAGTTTTCTTTACATTAATGCCTTTAGCCAGGATGGAAAATGTCACAATGCTCAGCCTGCTCCTGAACATAAATACCATTAAATATCAGTGATGTCAGCTGACTTAACTATGTCACAGTGGCCTATTTAGGAGACAAATCTACCTTATCAACCCATTACTGAGGATGTCACTACTGTACAGCCATACCACAACAGCAGATCTCTGTTTTTTAACACTTTGCCACTTACATTTACACATTTGCCTTGTTACCATTACATTTGTGATACACTGTAAGCTTTTTTAAAGCCTGTGACTGTGAATTGTCTGTTGGGCTATTGTTCTAAAGGTCCTTAGACTTGTTTGTCATTTCAAACATGTCATGCTCTGTTTGCTTTGACGAGCTTAAAGCTTACAGGTGCAACCCATTGAAATAATTAAGAAACAGAGCAAAAGTCATCAGTATAAAACATCAGAAATGCAGTGAATTGTAAAGAATATGTCAGTTCTAACTCAGCCTAAAATAATATACAGATGCTAGATAAACTTTTCTTGAATCTTCTTTTAAATGCCAATAGTACCTTTGGAAATATTAAATGAGTTTGTCTTTACTTTATATATTTACTTCTCCTCTTACATAAGCAGCAGTAACCTTGCAGAGGAGGTTAGTAGGGCATCCATGGGTGAACAGTGGGCCATCCCGCTTCCCTCTGTAGCTGACCATCAAAGCACAGATGCTACTGATGCAACAGTAGCTGTGTGGTGCGTTTGTGTGTGTGGGAGGAAGGCTGGGCTTTGTATGTGTGTTAGTGAGTGAGATGTTGTCATCATCGGTAGAGCTGTCACTGAAGAGGAAGGTATGCATGTGTGTGTGGTGATGGGTGGGTGTGAGAAAGACGTAGATGGAGTATTATGATTTTTTTGGCTTGTATATAGTGTTCTATGAATAACTCAATAAATGTAATTTTCAACAAATCCCTTTGTAAACTGCCAACTGTTTCAATTAGAATCAAATAAGAAAGTTGTACTCTATCAACTGAGCTGGAGGGGGAAAGAAAATAAATCTCAACACACTCTAAAGCTAAGTACACCGAGTCACACTGCTCTGCATATTGAGAAGAAAAACGCCTGCAGAAGCTCAACTTTCTGCTAATAAATAAGACAGGAGGCAGTCACATTTAACTCCACAAAAACCTTCACCCTCCACATGAACCTGCTTTTAGGTTACAAAAAAAATACCTTTTTGTGTTTGGCATGCCACAGAAAATCTAAGTGCTGCCGGTCATAGCTTAAAAGGTCCAGTGTGTAACATTTAGGAGTATCTATTAGAGAAATGGAATATAAGATTCATAGGTACGTTTTCATTAGTGTACAATCACCTGACAATAAGAATCATCGTGTTTTTGTTACCTCAGAATGACCTATTTTTATCTATGCAAGGAGTGGGTCCTCTTCTGAGGTGCAGTTTGGTAAATATTACATTTGAAGGAGTCAGATTTTTAGCCCCCAATGTTACAGCCTTGCTTTCAAGGTTGCCTTTTCATTATAATTAAATAAAATACAAAATAATTTAATGTTAATTCCTAAACATGTGGAGGGCCTTATGAAATGGATCTAGCTCCTCTGCTAGTTTGAGACCCCTTGCAATAGGCCATCTCTACCTCCCAAATGCCCACTTCTTCCGAACCCCATAGACCTAGTCTGTGAGACAGGCTTTCTGTTAAACACATTCAGTGTAGGGAATCCTGGTGAGTTTGATGTAGAGAGTGACAAAAAGGAAGATAAAACTTCAACTCACAGCTGCATAATCAGGTAGAGGTGGTCAGGACTCTCGTAGATGTCCTCCAACGCCACAATGTTCTCATGCTTGATCCTGCAAAGCAAAGACAAACCAATCAGTGAAGCTTTTTATTTCAAAGCTGTAACATGTTCTGCATCACACAATAACCCATTAACAGAACTAAATGACTTTTAATCCTAATGATTGCCGTTGAACTTCTCCATTAAGTTTCTGCCACATTAATAAATGTAACTGATAATCCAGAGTAATCCTCTGACAGTCTTTTACCTAGGGTGGCCTTATAATCCGGACTTCACCATCCAGATTTCAACAGTTTTAAACCTTAATTTCTCAACTGACAAAACAGTCTCTCCTAAGGTCCATTTTGTGGCTGTTCTGGAGCTTTCAGTCATATTACACGATCTTCTGCCCAGTTGTTGTTCAGATTTCCATTTTATTTTATTTGCCAAGTTTCTATCAAACACAATCTGCTGATGTGATATGATTGAAAGCTCTAGAACAGCTACTGAATGGACCCTTTTTTATACTTTATTGCAATGTTTCCTTCATAATTTTTCATTTGTTCATTGCATATTTATACATAAATATATATATATACATACATCCATACACGTATATACACATGTAGATACATACACTTTTTTCATTTTTTTAAAATACAAATTGAACTAATAAACTACAAAAGAATAGCACAAGATACAAAACAGCAACCAACTCAAATACTACATCAATAAAAAAAGTTTAAAAGGAGAAAAAAGGAAAAGAAAATGAATGAAAGAAACAGAAAAAACAAGGAGTGATGTGGCAGGGTCGGGGAAAGGACATTGGGATCAGGGATAAGAAGGACCTACTGAATGGACCTTGAGGTGAGTGTGTTTTGTGCCAATGTGAAGGATTGTTGACACCTAAAGAAAACTGTGAGATGCGGTTGAAAGCTCTAGAAAAATAGTCTGTAGTGTATTGTGTGTGTAATGTACCTTGAATTGAGATGTTTATACAAAAAGTTCTACTTCCAAAGTTGAGAATGAACTTTAACACAAAAATGTTTTTATTTCTTTACTCCCAGCACAAAATTTTTCTTGGATTTGAACCCTTTTTCATCTTCTCCTCACCTTTCTGATCGTTTCTGTCCGTTCTCTCCTGATTTCTCCATGGTTACAGCGCTGTGATGAGAGTGTTCCCATCCGTCTATTTGTGTGTGTGTGTGTGTGTGTGTATATGTGTAAATCTGTTATCCTAACACCTCATACCTTGTAGAAACATGATTGATTATGTGTGTGGGTTAATCATCTTTTGCATTGTGAACAGAGGTAATTCCCCCTGGTCTATCTCTCTCAAACACTCACTCACTCACTCACTCACTCACTCACTCACTCACTCACTCACTCACTCACTCACTCACTCACTCACTCACTCACTCACTCACTCACTCACTCACTCACTCACTCACTCACTCACTCACTCACTCACTCACTCACTCACTCACTCACTCACCAGGTGCATTGGTGAGCATCTAACACTTATTATGGAGCATATGACCGGAGAGAGCTGACACGCATGCAGGCACGCAGGTTGAAAAGGGATAATGTCTGTGTATTCGAGCCCTGTCTGGGATAATGAAGAGCTGGCAGCAAACAGTCAGAGTGTAATGGCAGAGGGGAGCATTCAGATACACCCTCTCATACATTACAGGCTTAATGCTAGACTTGTTGTTCTCATTCATGGATTTCTCTTGCGTGTGTCCTCTATTACTGCTGTGCACAGCTGGAGCAGCTGTACACTGGACCATGTGGCATTTCAATCTACTTTGTACCTTTTGAAATGATTTTTTTATATAACATAAGCTCTGACTTGTGCTTGTGTAAGTGTTAACTTGATGAACAGAAAATTAATCAACACCAACATTTTCTAATTTCAGCATCACAACTGTGAGTATTTGCTGCTTTGAATACCTTTGAGTTTTGGACTACTTGAAGAGGTCACCTTACACTCTGGGAACTTGAAAATGGCATTTTCCACTTCATTCATACAACATTTTGTATACCTCTCTCTCTCTCTCTCTCTCTCTCCCTATATGTTCCTGCCTATCTCTACAGTGTTAACTATCAAACAAAGACAAACATGCCATGAAATTTAAAGGATTAAAAACCCAGGTAAAACTGCAGTTTTTTCCTCATTTACTGTTTTTCTTTTCTTTTAATGATATGCTCAATGTTTCTTAACATTGAAACATGGGACTCTCTCCAATTATGTAATGATAATAGTTTCATGTTATGACCACCAGTTTTACTTATTTCAGCTTTGCTCTGAGAAATAATTTTTTAATACTACAACATAAGAAGGCGGCGTTTGAAGATTCAAATCAAAGAGGCACAAAAGGTACAAACAACAAATGTGTTAATTTGTATTTCTTTGTTCCTAATACGACGTCTCAACTAAACAACTATGTTCTAGTGGAGAATAATTTCATTAAAATCAAAAGCTTGCACCGTCTTTTAGGTTAGCTAAATGCATTAGCTGCTGTTTGTTAAAGTTAGAGTGACCATCACAGCAGTAATCTCAGAGGATAACAATCTTTATTCTTAGTGTTTAAGTAATATCTTAGTACAATTTCTGTAAACTAATGAGAGCACGCTGGCTATTTATAGTAAACGGGCTGGGACACTCCCTGGAAATTTTGTACCATGGGAAATGAGGAAGAAATGTCAACTACCAGGATGATTCTGTTGGCCTCTACCTACTGTAATACAGGTGGTATCATTACTGTTTGTCTTCCTCCAAATATAAACCAAATTTCTTGTTTTTTTCTGTAACTCTTTACCCAAATAGAGCTTTAGCTGTATTTGCTGTGGAAGGACACCACCCTTTGTGCTGTAAAGTGATCCATCAGATTTCCCTCCAAAGCCGACCTGGTGTCACACAGCGTACATGCTGGTAGAGACTGCCAGTCTGCTCACTTACGCTCTCATTTGTTTACACTAATGACACTCATTTGTCTAAATGAATGTCTGCATCTCTCCCTCATTACTAGAGGCAATTCTCATTTTCTCTGTTACACAGTGGAGCCAAATGGGCAAATTCAATGTATTTAATAGCATAATACATCTGTATTGTCGCAGCATAGAGAAGTCCAGCAGTTTGACATTTATGTGTAATTGTGTGGTTACATGATTGTGTGTAAGATAATCCTGGTTTTTCATTTTACAGGTTCTCTGCAGGAACCCTCCCTTGCATGTGAGCATGAGTTATTCCCATGGATCTGTGTTAAACACTGCATGATGTAACATGGCAGCTTATTTATTCCTATTAAAATCTGCTCACCTGCAGCACATATACAGTGTTTCTATCACTTCCAACAAACATGTGAGAACTGGTGGTCTTTTTCTCGCTCTGTCTGGTCGGCTGCACATTCATGCCATAAAAATAATATGGTGATGTGACTCCTGGTGGTTGTTAAATTCACAATATACTGGACCTGGTTAAACATTTAAATAGACATTGTTTAGTGTGTGTGTTATGCTCAGGAATGTTTCTTTACTTTCTTTTAGGCCTGTGCAATAAAACAATGGCAATATATTGGTAATGCACGTAATGAATAGCAATGAGACAATTGTTCAATAAAATATTGATAGGCTTTATTAAATCCAGGGTTCCTGGCAAATGGTGTTCTTTCGGGGGGCTTGTGTATTTCAAATGAAGCAGAAATGCACACCAGAGGTAATGATGTGTCCCAAAACTCAAAACTCACATGGTTGACGACCTGGTGCATATTTTGCATCAAGATGGGCAGCTTTTCTATTTCCCAGCATCAAAGCTTCAGAAAACCACATTTGCTCCTTGGATTGGCACCATAGTTAAAAATGGACAGTCTCTGTGTCATCACCCATAGGTTTCTGAGAAGCTTGTTGTGAAGCTTAGTGTGCTTGGTTCTGGCCGTCGCCATCTTGGCAGTCCTGACTCCGCCAGATCCCGGCTAATCCAAAAATGGGCAAATATTTGGATCGTGGATGGAGCTGAGGAGGCTGAATGAAGCCTGGTTACTGAAAACTGCTGCCTGTGACGGCAGCAACCATGCCCTTAATTATGAATAACTTTAAGCCTTAATATAATTTAAACAGGTGAGTGATATGAAACATTTTTGCTTTAAAGTTTTATTTTAATTTGGGACCTTATTGAGATTGACTCATTTTGTAGCCAGCCTCAAGTGGCCGTTCAAGGACTTAGTTCCGTGATGGCTTCATTTGCTGCTTGACTGGCACATCCCAGTTACTCTACCTTGACTACTACACATGCACTTTCAGCTCCAACAAAGAGTGCAGCATCCAAACAGAATTCACAACAGGAATCTAACAGTTTATACTACTGTGCAGCTGTTTTGTGCTCAGACAGACAGAAGTTTCAGTCGTGATGTGTGTATGTGTGTGTGTGTGTGTGTGTGTGTGTGTGTGTGTGTGTGTGTGTGTGGTAGGTGGGCTGTGGATCGTGACCTGGGGGCGGGGGGTTGGTGGAGGAGTGAGGAGAGAGAGGAGATGCGCAGTTGCCCCGGTAACCAGGAATTAGGAGGCTTATGTGGTATGTGTGTTTGTCTAAGAGCACTCACTTCCTCAGCACGGCGATCTCGTTCTCGATGCTGCTCTCCTTCCCCTTCAGAGCCTTTTTTGGGATGCACTTCACCGCAAACATCCGGCCGGTCAGCCTCTCCTGGGCCAGGACCACCTCGGAAAAGGCTCCTCTGTGGAAATAAAAAGTCATGTGAGTCACAAGTAGATCCTTAATTGGACAATGTAACCGTCCAGCCTCTGGTGTCCTGCAGGTTTTCACATTAAACAAATTTGGGTGAAAAACAAATTGCATTCTCTCAGCCGCGGGGGGAAGTTGTACACCCTGCAGGGTCTAATCTGCAAGCACAAACCAGCATGATAAAAACCAGGAGTGTTTATTTAGAGGATATTCTAGCAGCAGCATATAGGCCATTATCTTATAATGAGTATATTAGTATATTGTAACTGAAAGGTCGTGTAAAATAGGTGGAATTAACCCATTTTTAGAGCACTGGGGCTCACATTTTTAGTGTCATTAATGCAGAAATACAGCAAACTAAAACTCCTTTCTTCCTAAATAAATACATTGTGAATGCAGTTGATTTGCCTTTAAGATCCCACTACAACAGGTACAGGTATTTGATAATCATCAACATTATACTGCAATGGTAATGTGATTGGATCTGCCAAGTGTAACATCAGAACATTAGATTGTTTTAATTTATTCATTTAAAATGTCTGCTACGCTTGAAAATAATTCAATTTTTTTGTTTCTCGCATCATAAAAACGTATGATCCTCAATACTAATCATGGCACCAATATTAGGCTAAACCCACCGAAATTTAAATTCAGCCATGTCTTTCAGTTCTTGTATGAGTGTGTCTGTGCTTGTTTGTGTGTGCGTGTGTGTGTGTCTGTCAGGAAGACAAGTAATGTGATGAATGAAGATGAGCCAATTGCGAGTTAATCTGCCTGAACCGTGTGTTGACTCCTGTGTCTATCTGCCTTCTTCTGTGAGCTCCTCCTGTACAACATTCAGACTACCTGCAGCTGACACAAATCCAAATGTATAACCTTCTGAGACCTGCTAAATGCACAAGGATATTGAATTCAAGACTACAAGGAGGCTCTTATAAGGCACTTCATGGCATGGATGCTTGCTATACTTCTTTATTTTAGTCCCATATGAGCTTGTTTGTAGCTTGAAATCCTGAGCCAGAGGTAATTTTCTGTTCTGGAGTCCAGGCTTAGACCTAAGGGGGATAGAAACTGTGCATTCAGGGCAATAAGCCTGTAGAACGACCTGCCTGTGGGAAATAAGGTTGGCTCAGTCTATATCATCTTTTAAATCTCTTCCTAAAAACACTTTTATAGTAGACCTTATTGCATTAAATGAAGACCACTTGGGGCCAGAGGAACAAACTGTTCACACAACATTTACATGTTATCACCTTATAAAGTTGTTGTGGTGAATGTGTTAGCAAACAGTTGCCTATTTACACATCCACCAGACACAGAAGCAATATTAGCATTCATTTGGAGTTGTGTTCTTGGCCACCTGATGAATGGAAATCCAATATTTACTCTCCTTTTAGCTCTGTTTTTGGTATCCACCAAATCCTGAGGGAAATGTGTAGCTGCTAAAAGCTCGACTATACTCACCAGCTAGCTGCTAACTTTACTGTCTGCTGTTGTGGGTAAACCAAAAGAAGCTAAAACAACTCAAAAGGTTATGAGGGAAACTACAGAGTCTGGTAATAATTATGAGAGGGTTTCTCAATACGAGCAACCTTTCTCACATGACATGACTTTTATGATCCCTAAACTTTTCCTCTAGCTCAGGTCAGATTTTTGTGTGTATTGTATTGTGTGTTTTGTATATATGCCTTAATAGATGGTCTATCTATAGTGACATAAATACCAGCAACCCTAATGACATTCCTGTTCTTTACATGTACTTAGTGTTTAGTGTAAATTAGCAAGTGTTGGCATGCTAACAACGAGGAATGTAACAATATATTGGACAGTTAAATCTAATTCTGTCCGACTTTACTTGTCTGACGTCCTATGTCACTCGTATCAGTAGCTGTATCATGCAAAGACAAGGCAGCGGCAGGTTACGACTTTGAAATTGAGCAAGCACCATCTTGAGAAAATGACAAAGGTAAGAAGAAAACAGACAAGAAGTGGCTGTTTTCCATACGTTATATTTTCAGTTTTAAAATAAATATGCTTTGTTTTACATAGTTTGTACCCAACCTCAGAAAAAAAGGGATTCTTTAATTTGACCAAGAAAATAAAAGGACAAGAAATATTTTGTAGATCGTTTTAAAATAATTTTCAAATTTGTTAGAAAATCATGCCGTGAACCCAGTATGGTGAATTGTATTGATTTTTTTACAAAAAATTAAAGAAAACTGGCAAAAGCAGTCAGGTTTAAAAAGAAGAACCTACCACAAACACCAATGGGAGCAATAGAAAGAAAGAAAGAACGAAAGTGCTGATGGACAGTCCAACTATGTTTTAAGATTGCTCTACTAACCTTGTTCTGTTGATTAAACATTTCATTCTAATATGAGTCAAGACTCAGTTCATGAATGAATCTCCATCCCTCCATCTTACACACCTGCCTGCTTGGAAAATGCCTTTCACATCAAGTTGCCTTTTATACAGTTGCACTAAACCTTCGTCACACCGTCCGCACCCTCTTCTTTTTCATTCATTCGTGTGTATTCTGGTGTGTATATTTGTGCTGCAAGTGTGTTTTAAGCTCCTCATTCAAGGGGAGAGATGCTGTTGTGAATGAGCCCTTTATCACATCAGTACGCGAGTGCTGCCGTGCAGAAAGCCCTAGAGCCGTTTAGAGGGAAGCATATTTGACAAGCCACCCATCTGCCACGAGGCCGACTAGCCTTGAGAACACCAGGGGTATCATCACAGCGGTAAACACACAGAGAAAACGCCTGCTCTTGGTGTTTTTCTCACGCCTCTCAGCAAGACTCTCGTTTTCTTCTCACCTTCACTCCCTCCCCCTCTCCCTCCCTCTGTCTGTCTCTTTGTCTCTCGCCTCACGCTCCATCTGAACACACCTTTTACAGTGGCAAGTGATCATCCTGCTGGTTAGTGATCAAGGTGTGCTCGCTCGCTCGCTCAGATCGCTTCAATTTCCTCACAGGCACGCACACACACATATAACAGACACCTGCTTGCACAGATAGTGGCTGTTGTGGGTTTCGATGACGTCAGAGCCAGACAAAACAAGTGGGCTGCACAGCTTTTCATTCATATATAAATATATACACACACATACATACATACACATACACACATACATATATATACACACATATATACACATACATATATACATACTTATATATACATATTCTCTCAGACTATGAGAGAGAGCGAGAGCGAGAGGTACATACATGAATGAGCACAATCTCTCTCTCTCACACACACATACTCCTGGCCTATGTGAGCATATTGAGAGTGAATTCAGCCTTAATCTGCACTCAACTCCCCTCCCAGTAATCCCAATAATTCCACAATTATAACAGTAGAGAACAAACACATTATGTCTGATAAAAAAAGATATAATCGGTAGCATAACAATGAGTTCACTTTGATAATGATGAAAATTTCTGGTCCTCGGTCTCTATAAAATGATTTTAGTGCTCCATTGGTGTAATTACTGTAAACAAACATTCCCACAACTGGCTCACTTAAACTAGATCTCACACCAGTGGTATTGGTAATTATGGCATGCAGTGACTCTTAGATTTTCCCAGCTGCAGTTCTTAGGAATTTGCACAGGTGGGCCGTTTGCAGCTGCAGTTGCTTTTGTTGTCATTCTGTTGGTAAATCCATTTGAATTGGAGGTGTAAAATAATTCAGTGGTAACACATTATGAAACAGAGGAACAACTGTTAAAAGCTGCTATTGGTCCCTATTTTCATAATAACATTGGATCAAATGACTATGTGTAATGTTAAAAGAGGATGCGTATAGTGACACACCCACAGAGAATTATCACCTAACTCTGAATCTCTCTCTGAAACTCTGAAACTTTACATCTGAAACCACTCAGATGTAAAACCAATAAGGGGACATGCAGAAGAAAAGAGGACCAAACCATTCTCTGTCCAGCTTTGGTAGACCTCAAAGATAGTGCGCTTCTATAGAGGGATTGTTGTTCTACTAAACATTACCACAAACAAATATGAAAGAATAACACGAGAAAATCTGAATAAATGTCACTTTACAAGGATACAAGTTATTTCATTGCCATTTACAACGCTTTTACAGTGGTTGTATAATGAAATTAAGGTTGTAGTTCCCTTTATGCTACCAGTAAAAACCACAGAACATTTGTTCTTAAAATGAAACTTCATTCAGTTTCAACCTCACAGTTAAACCTTCAACCCGACTGTATATCTCAACCAAATGAAACACCTATAGTATGGGAGAGCACCGACATGTTAAGACAGCGCCCTCCACCACCATCATCAAAACAGAGGTAACAGATGATGTCCAGAGACTTAGAGCATCTATTTCAAGGAGCACTGAAACTTTTGAGTCTTGTGGTGGAATAAGACCTTAATGAGGCACTTTACATTGTTTTTTTCCTTCTTTAATTTGTGTCCCTCATAAACTGCAACACTGCCTGAAACCTTTCCTGCTTTCAGAGCCATAATCATAAGAGGTTACAGTAAAAACCATATTGACACCGATGTGACCGTCAACAAAATGTGAATTATGAAAGTGTGACTGAGAGACAATCTGTTCATTCATGCTGAATATTATGTCTGAATGGTGGGAAGATGTGAAAGAAAAATGAAGCTAAACTGTACTGAAATGAGGAAAAAGGTCAGGTGTATGTGTGTGTGTGTGTGTGTCTGAATGGAGGCAAAATGGACCTAATAAATAAGCTACTCGCAGGTCCACAAACACACACAACCACCGCCACTACCGCAACAGCAGAAACACAGCATGGTCCACTTCACATTTTGTCAACCCTAAATGTATTTGCTTGCCGCACACACATGCGCTAAAGGACCTGCAGGGTTCATTTGATTGGAGGAAGGGGGCTTGGATAACATCTGGCAGCTGAGTTCACAAACCGGACTGTGTTTGTGTCTGGGGTTGACTAGCTGGCAGTCCCCACTTGCTGTTACCCGCAGCAACAAT